TATGATGAGAGTGTGTTCTGTTACGATTCTTCAGCTCAGGTGATGGCCATGGCAAGCAGGCATCCCTTGCCGCGAATCAGTGTCACCATGCGACACTTCGGCATCACCGCGACCCTGTGACTCGCCTTCGACCGGTGGAATTCCGTTATCTTTCAGGCTATGGCCAGAAGATCTGGTTTAGTCGGTTGGGGCCGAGTGCGCAAATTCGAGCCAGCTTCTGGCATCATAGCTTGTGATGGCCTGCCTCGGAGCTCCATATGCGAGTTCGGTCGTGCTGCCTACACCCCTAGCCAAATCCCTCAACCTTAAACCCTGAGCCATAAGCCTAAAGCTCTGAGCCCAAAGCCATGTCCCAGCCTTTCTTGTCCTTTTCGAATACCTGCTTAGCCTGCGAGCCCTACGCCATAACCCAAACATCCGTCCGACTAGCCCTATGACAATCCTAAACTGTAGACTCCTAAACCCATTCACACTGTTTTACGAGGGGTCAGAAGCCTTCTCCCAAGCCATCCTCAGAAGGTACAGTAGGTTGGCCAACGGCCTGTTGTTGTTGTTGTTGGTTACCTTTGGTCACGATAGGTCGGATTCACGCGAAAGCATCTTATAATAGTGCCTTTTTTGCCGACCTTCGCTGCGGAAGGGCGTTTGGATGGCAGGATTATGGGTTCCTGTAAGTGTGACGATGAGGGTCGCAGCAAGGGCTTCTATAAGGAGTACTACAAGGGGTTTGAGTGTCTGAGGGACATTTCAAGGCTCACTTCGCAGCTCTACAAAGGATGCTGTAGGATGCCATGCGGCTTTCTTGCGGGTCTTGGATCTGAGGGTTTATGGCTTACAAGGAGTAGCTTGTGGGCTGAGTGGCTCCCGGTTGCACTGTGGCATTTGACACTATGGCCCCCTGTCTTCCTGGCTGAAGTACTTACCTTTGGTTAGTAGGGAATGGAAGAATGGTAGTAACAGTAGTTGTAATTGTACCCCATTCCTCCATTCCCTACAAACCCAAGGTAAGAGTAACGACGTTGTGCGCCATGGTGTGCCCGAGCCAGTCCTCAGACCGAGGCGAGTCGTCCCGCGAAGAATGTCTGAGTCCATTTTCAACTCAGACGAAGAAGTTCCCCCTTGGCAGATACTTTCATTGCTTTGCGCAAACTCTATAAGGGACCCTAGCATAGCACCCTAAATAGTAGGATCCTTATCCTTGGTACAAGGATCCCAATACAAGGTCCCGCCAATTTTCGGAAACTCTTTAAACCCTTATAAAGCCCTTTAATGGAACCCTTATAGTACCCTTATAGCAGCCCCTTGAGAGGAACCCTTATAGTACCCTTGTAGTGCCCCTTTGAAAGGAACCCTTAGCTACCCCTACTTAAGCTCGATGCCAAGAGAGAGGCGCTGTGCAAAACGGCATTGCATCGGCTCGCCGGGACTGTTTGTTAGTAGACTTTTCTATACTATACGAGATTATACTATATCTATATTATAATTATACTATACTATACTAAATTGTACTGAACTATATTTTATATATATATACACACTATACTATACTATACTATACTACACTATACTATATGTATTTCACTATATTATAGAAGTGCTTCAGCAATTTCACAGTTTCACCTGAAGCTGTCGAGTCTGCGCCTCAGGAAAAAGGCGTTCTGCCTCGTTTCGTGCAGAGGAGCCTTAAGGGCGAAGGCTTGAGGGCTGATCCCTTCTATACTAAAGTATAATATAGTATATTATAGTAGGTCAAAGTATGTTATAGCATAGTATAGTATAGTATAGTATAGTATGGGTTTAGGGTTCAGGGGTTGGGGTTTAGGGGTTAGGGTTCGGGTTCAGAGTTTAGCATTTAGAGTTTAGGGCCTGTTGACGAGCCGGCAAAGACCCAAGAGCCCTTCAGAAAGTCTCTCTGCTATGTACATTACCCTGATATGGGAGTTTCCGAAAATAGGGGACCCTAGGGTTCCTTTAAAGGGCTCCTTAAAGGGATCTATAAGGGTTCTATAAAGGGTTTAGGGTTTAGGGAGAAGGTCACCTTTGTGCTGCAGATTTGAAGTCTTGCAGTGCTTCCCAGCTGATCGGCAGAGTCTGGGTTCAAAAAAAGGGAGTTTCCGGAAATAGGGGACCCTAATATGGCACCCTAAACAGTAGGATCCTTAATGTAAGGACCTCCAGATAAGGTACCCTAATGCTCGGAAACTCCCATATCCGTCCGCCCCAGACCCCGATCGAGCCGATCAGGTGAATCCGAGGGAGTCTTGAGGAAATCCAAACCCATACTGTAGGTCCGACCACATCATGTCGAAGCATTACTAACAGGGTTTGGTGTGGTTTGGGTTTTGGCTTCAGCCCGCAGGGTGTATGTTTCAAGCTGGTGGAGGTCATAGGGTGCTGGAAAGTAGGAATGCTTTTCATGAGACCACTGTCACGTATGACCTGCACACTACCTCCCCTCCCGAGAGGCTGTGGAACCTGTTTCTGCGCCACCGGATGCCAGCGGCCGGGAGCCTTATCTCTGGCATTTCCAGAAAATCGCAGGCGATCCATCGTTTCGTTTTGGCCTTAGGGCTCGTTTGGCAGCTGTGGATACTGCAGATATAGATTGGCATGCTGGCCTTCCAGTGTCAAAGCTGTACCTGAACTCGCTTGCATGTTCGCAAGCCCTGTCTTTCGGATAAGAGCTGGAGTATTTGCATGCTCCTTCTCTCTCTCTCTCTCTCTCTATCTCTCTCTTTGAGTGTTTGTGTGTGTGTGTGTGTGTGTGTGCGCGCTCCTCTGTAAGTGTGTTTAAGCACACGTTATACGTTCCAGCCGTCGCCACCCATAAAGAACTCAAACCCATTTTATATGCATGCATGCCTGCCTATATATCACTTCAGCAGCCACGCAACGGTACGCCACATAGGACATCATAGGACAACACCAACATATCCGCTGCGTCAGTTTTCCAGGTTCGCAGGGCGCATCTCCTACAGTGCTCGCAGCCAAGTCCCCCGAGGGGGGGTTGTGTAGTGAACGGCTTGTGGCCAACGCGAAAGTCAAGCCTTGCCAGGTTAGGACGGGTTCTACTTGTCTTGCAGTGAGAACTTGATGCGATGTGCTCGTGCTGAGCCAAGCTATTTCATCTGGGTTGGGCACTTCCGATCATTGTGTGCAGAGCTGTTCCTAGTCTCCCAAGCCGGTATGCCAGCTGCAACCATAAATTGCGGAACCAGATATGTGTAGATGGTCACCAGAAGTCTTTGCTCGAGGGTTGGCTCAAGACTTTCTGAAGCCCTGATGGCTTATAGTGGCAGCAGCTTGAGCACGATCTGTAACACTGCTCCAGGTACCGCCAGCACGTCAGAGCCATGCTGGTTGAATTCTTGGAGTTGGCTGACAATGAGAGGGGATAAAGCGGGGTTCCTTACGTTGCACCGACTGCCAGATCCGTATCAGAAGAGAAAAAGACGACGACATCCAAGATAGACCACCCAGAATCGGGAACATTCATCACATTCTGTATTAAACCTCTGTTCAGAAGCCGAGCTCCAGCCCCATTGTTCTAACGAAGGACAGACTGAGAGCTTCATTTGCCTCGTCCACATGTACGTGCGACAGTGTAGCTGGAATCATGCTCAGGCTCTAGGATTATTCTCGAGTGTTGTTGTTACTGTTTTGCGCGCGCGCGCGTGCGCACGCGTGTGTATGTGTGTGTGTGTGTGTGTGTGTTGTTTTGTTGTTTTTGAGAGTGTGTGTGTGTGTGTGTGTGTGTGTGTGTGTTTGTGTGTGTGTGTGTGCTCGTGCTCGTGCGTCTTGGTTGCGTGAATCCAAATGTTATGGGGGCGTCCGGATTTGGGGCTTTGAGCTGCGTGATGTGAATTTGGTGCGGCAGCTGCTCGAGATTATGAAGCGCAGAGCGCAAGTCAGTGCTGGATCGTGGTTACCGTTGTTGATACTGTATTGTCACAGTTGTCCGTCTTGCTACACTCCCAGAGACTACGCTGGGTTTTAAAATTTGTTTGGGATATTTCATCCGCTGGGCACCTGCGCTGGACTCGCTGGCTAGGCGGGCATGAAAACCACTTGGCCGGACCATGGAGCCATGGAGCGTCCCATAGAAGACCTATGAATTGGGATCTCCCTAACCCCCTAATGTAGGAACCTGATTAAGAAACCCTGGCCCTATAACCCCAAAATAGTAGGATTCATTTAAGGAGCCCCAATAAACATCCCAAGGTTTCTTAATCAGGTTCCTACTTTTCGGGCCTCAGCTGAAGAGCAGCAGAGGGCAGTGCTGGCAGTCATCAAGTCCGGTTTCAAAAAAGGTTCCTACTTTAATTATAAGAGTATTATAAGTAGGCTCCTACACTCAACCCTTATGGTACCCTTATACGATCCCTTAAAGAAGCCCTTTTGGCCAAGGCCCTGAACTGCCGTCACTTCCAAGTGTGCGAGACCCAGTAGTCGAGTAGGTAACCTTTCAAACCCTAACCCCAAACCCCGAGACCCTAAATATCATCCTTAGCCTAGTAGTCGAGTATGTAACCTTTAACCTCTTTTTGGGTAGTATAGTCCCTACATAATCCCTACATAACCAAGAAGGTTAACCTTTAGTTCCCCATGATACCCGACAAGTAGCGAGACCGCGAGATTTCGGAAACCGTGCGCCGACCGCTGCTGGCTGGCTAAGGTGAAGAGTAGCCTTTTTTGACATGGGCCGTGGTTTACTGGAAAGCATTGATTGAAACGCATAAGCCGGTGACTCATGCTAGATCTTTGATCTGTGTTTAGAAGTTTTCTCTACATAAACGCGTCTTCACTTGCACATCCGTACCTAGATAATAAGAACTGCCTCGCTGCAGGCCTAGGTGAATGACTGTTTTTTGCTTTTCGTTTTCTTGAAGGGCTGGCACCCTTTCTTTTCCATCACGGCTGCGCCTTGCTCAACTTGCTGATTCCCAAACCCCTCGCCGTCCTATATCCCTCCGAACATAATCGGGCTCAGTTGCGCAGCCATGGAGGGTGCAATCATTGCAGAGTTCAGCAGCCTGAATGCTTTGAACCAGCAGGCCTGTGGCCTTGCTCCTGCGCCGGTGGGGTTGGGTATTATTCTGACTAGCCTCTGCAATGTAGATACTGAGGGGAGCTGGCAGGAGGATGCTAGCTGCTAATATGTGCTGCCCGGCATCTGGGGGGAAGACTGCAGTCACTGCTGCCAGAGAGCAGTTTGTATTCTGCACATGCGATAAGCCGCATTAAGACTGCACAAAGTGCCAGAATGACTCTGTGCGTATGCCTTCTGCACGCTAGCATGCAGTCCACAGGCGATGGGCTTAGAGTAATTACTTTCTTTCGGCATGCATGGCTCGCAGGTATCTCCCTTTCGGATGTTAGTATGCGCGAGCTTATGCGATAAGCTGTAGAGACGAGCCGTTCCCTTGGGCGAGATATCGTTGGGCGGTGTTGGAGCGTGTTCCTATATGCTGGAACCATGATGTTGGCATCGCACATCCAACGCCCACAGTGTTTTCTGGTGAAAAACGTCGATGGTCGCCTTGTCATCTGGGCGTTTCCGAAAATATGGAACCCCAATCTAGTACCCTAAATAGCCGTGCCTGCCTTGAGCGAGTGTGCGAGTCGAAATACTAGGATTCTTATGATAAGGACCCCCAAAATAAGGTACCCCTCATCTTCGGAAACTCCCATCTGAACGAGGCACCGCAGGCGAGAGGTCTCGGGCCAACCAATGCACAGGGCGTGGAGCCTGAGAGAACGGTTGGGGGTACTAGATCCTTAAAAGTTCCTTTAAGGCATGTATAAGGGATCTGTAGCGGTAACAGGGTATTCTAGAGGGGCCTAAAGAATTACCAACACTATTTTGGGGGCTCCTAATTTTTTTTTATGTGATGGGCCCCTAAACCCTATTCTACTTATCAAGGCCCCTATAGTACCGAGAGTTCGAGCTTTGAGTTCAACACCCCTTGGGCTCTGATTCCCTCATGTGCTGAGGAATACCGGACCCGAAAGTACGAGAATTGTTGAATAAGCCGAGATGTATGTCATGGTCTCTTGTGGACACTGCTACAATGGCCTTGAGGTCTTGCCAGCTAGTTCTGCGAAGATAGATGGCATAGCTGTCTAAATAATTGCCCATATGATTGATTCCCTGGGCTTCTTTTTATAAGCATAAAACATGCAAGCCCTGGTCTACTAAAACGAAGCCCCAAATTCATACATTATGTTCAGAGAATGCAAAGACGAAGCTCCAGTTTGAGAAGAACCAAACGTCCAGAGCAAGACCTGCACGACTTCAAGCACAGCCGAAACTCTTCTCGGAAGAACACCTTACAGTCCTGCCCCAGACTCCGCCTGTGGTATAGCTGCAAATTCCAAACTCAAGACTCCACATTGCTAGCAGTGTTTTATCCTGAATAGCGCAGCCCTAAACCCCATAAAACAACGAGGCAAAAGAGGCCCTGCAGAAGGCAACCTCACCGAAAGGCAGCGGGTTCTTTGGGATGTTGGTCTGTACCTGGACCCCATAGGTATGTTGAATAAGAGCCTTTTATAGGCTTTGGGCCATTATTTTACCTACTTTTGGGGGTCTAGGTAGGGTTTAGGGCTGATTGTTGTGTTTCGTTACTGGTGTTGCGGAAGAGCTTTTTGAGTCCGAGATGTCATAAGCGCCGAATCCCCTGGGCGCCTCATGCCTAAACCCTACCTAAATAGCTTACAGATCTTAAGGCCAATATTTAGCTTTCCTTTTTTAAAAGCTAATACATAGCTTACCTTTTTTAAGGACAAATATACGGAAGCCATAATAAGGAAACTTGAGAGGTAGCTTTTCTAGGGCCAGGTAAACCGTACAGCAAAGTTATCGGTTTTTCTCCAGGCGATGGGTGTCCGGCCCCAGAAAGTCCAGCTTCCGCAGGGCCTGTGTTCCTTATACCAAGTATGCTGAACGGTACCCCTTAAACCCTATTTTATTCGTATAGTATGGTATAGTACCGTGTAGTAGCAGCTTAGTAGCATAGCACCGCATGGTTTCGTATAACATAGAAAACAGTATAGTATAGTGTCACATTGATTCTCCTTCATTAGACAAGGAACAGTCCCAAAGTCATGGTCGGGATCCACAAGGTGGAGTCTTGGTTGAGAGGGGAATAGTTGCCAACACTATACAATGGGGGTGTTCTTCATAAGAGACCCGTTTGCAAGGGACATTGTGCTCTCAACGTCAATCATGCTTGGAATCCTTCGTGCCGGAAGGGCACTGAGGGATCATTGGAGTCTATCCCTTTCGGAAGTCTGGGGGTCAGCTCAGTCGAAGCCGTCCAGGGGAACAGACCGACGACACCACGAAGAGGGCGTTGCAGCTGGGGCCTTGTCTCTAGGATGTTAAAGGAGTCCAGATGGCTTTGACGGTTCCGGGCTCTTCTCCATTATTCTGCATTTGTCTTCGGCAGGGGCACCGGGGTGGCCAGCGAAGCAGGTAGCCGTCGAAAGATTTTACCGCATTATACATCTACGTTCTACCAACTGTGGCGATCCTTCCTTGGCAGTTCATAGGGGGTTTCCGAAAATTAGGGGTCCCTTAGATTGGAGTCCTTACAATAAGGATCCTACTATGTAGGGTACTAGATTAGGGTCCCCCATGTTCGGAAACTCCCATAGAGTTTATAAACCCTAAACTCAGAAGAGGGTCGGACACGAGGCTGCCTGGTGTACTAAAGGGGCCGAAATATTTAATTACCAATCTTAATGTTATGGTTCGGGTTCCTTATGATATTTATAGTTTAATGGGCCCCAAAACCCTATTCTAATTATTAAGGCCCCCACAGTAGCTACAGGCTTGAAAGAAGCTCGAGGCAAAGGTCTCATTCTCGTATTCGCCGGGGCTGTAGCCCAGTTTGGAGTGCCTGGTTCTGACCCCGGGCTCCAAGAAGCCCTCAGCCCTAAACATGTTTTTTCAATGCTAAAAAACCACTGAAAGCCCTGAGCCCTAAGCTCTAAACACACAGGTACCGAGACTTCTGACCCGAAAAAAGCTTCACTGCTGGTTCTCCGCTGCATTGAGGTTGGATCCCAAACACACCGAGAGCGCCTCCTGAGGCTTTTGGGGTTGCTTTACAGGGAACTCCAGAAAGTTGGAATATGGTTTCTTGGTAGGATACCCTATAATTTACCTTAAAGGGTTTAGGATAATCATATTCCAACTTTCTGGCTTTTACTATAGGCTTTGGGGTGTAGGGTTTGGGGATGTTTACGGTACAGGCTGGTAGAGGGTTCTCTCCTTGCAGAAGTTTTGGGGTTGCGGGTTTTTACACTTTGGGGTTTCGGGGTTGAGGGCTTGTGATTTCAGAGTCGCGACGGGGTTCAGTTTCTTGGCTTTGGGTTTTGGAGGTTCATGGTACCAAGGCCTGGAAGGCTGGTTGAAGAAACCCGAGGTAACTCAGAGAAGCTTCGTGCCGGGACTGCAGATGATCATAGTCTCCTTATGGATCGTTTTGTTCAGTTTTGTTCATATAAAACCCAAGAGAATACCAAACGTAGTATTGTCATTATAGTTCTAGGGGGGGTTATAGACGAGGGGCTAAGTCTCAGTTCGCCCTTCGAGTGATTGCTAAGATATCATGCCAACTTTAGACCAGGCTGTTTGTACATGAACTTGGCACAAAGAGACCTGGGCACAAGAAGATCACCCCGGCCCACGACACTTCGAGACGGGGCTGTAAACAGATCTCAAGAGAAACCATAAGCTTGCGACGAAGGACATCCCAGATTCAATCAGCTGAGCTCAGGGGTGAGTCGACCTACACGACGGCCTCCAGCAACATGCACATGAATGACCATTTCATTGAAGATCAGCCGGGTCCTCGGCGAACAGACGCGTGTGATGTGATGGTCTTATTCCTGTTGTGCGGGGCTTGGTCCTTCGGTGCTTAAGTGTTTGTAACCCAAGGTATGCTCAGTGTTCCTGGGTTTTAGGCCGTGAAGGTTCTGTTCCGGGCAGTGCTACTGTTGTTCCCTTTCCTATAGGAAGCTCCACTCGAGGTGGCTGTCGTAACAAAACCCTGGATCTGACCGTGCAGCGAGTAGCAGCATGTAGGGACGAAGCCGTGCGCTCTGGAACTAGTATGTGAGGCCGAGCGTCTTCTGAAGCTTCCTTCTGCCTCCCATTTTTGTTGTGCGAGCCTTAGGGCTTGAACAGAACCCCTGTCAATGGCCCGCAGACAAATTGCAAATAAGAGCCCCGACGCCCTGTAAATGCCAAGGCCGCAGATCCTTCAATTCGGCATGCAGGGAGCTGAGGAGCACTCAGGGGCTCAATGGCGTTTGGTAGGTCTTAAGGGTCTGGGTTCTAGGGTTTGAGGTTTACAATTTATTTAGGGGGGCCCAAACCTCAATTCCTCGCCGGCTGCAAGGTTCAATCCGAAGCCTCGAACCCCAAAGCCCCCTGCCAGGGAACATCCCCCATGAGTTGCCGGGCAACCTGCTCCTCGGGTACCACGGTTGGTTGCGATGATAATGGCTTCCTTTGAATGTTACCATACAGCAAACTGCTCGGCTGTCGAGTTCTGGGAGTTCCCTTGGATGAGATTTGGCTTCACGCCCAAATGGATTTACGGTCTACGGTGGTCAGGCCGATCAAGCCCTGAGCCGTGCCGACGCGTCCCTGTACTTCTAATTTAAGACGCGAACCCGAAATTAGCCCTGAACCCCGGGCCTTGCAAGCCAAGCTCCTAAACCAATTAACGATTTCAAGCCAACAGCAGTGACCAGAAATCGGCGCCCATCAACACTTCGAGGTTCGTCCTCGCCAGGCGGGAAGCACAAAACAACTCCGTAACAATCAGGACCCTCCATTACATCCTTAACCCCAACAAACCCCTCAAACCTCAAATCCCAAAGCTCCGCGATCCCGTCGGCCCCAAATCCCTAAAAACCGCCTCAAGAGCCTCGCTCGCACACACCTCCCGCCTTGAATTTCTGGGGAACTTTGAGGTCCCACTTGCTGCCGCAGTCCACCAACACGGAGGCAGACTCTTCAGTTCACGGTTAAATACAGAGGCCTGAGCAAGTAGTAACGATCCTTTTGCAGTCCGCCTTTTGCTTATACTCACAACCTGGTCTCTCGGTTTAGGCCTGTATATTAGGGCTTGGGGTTCAGGGCTGCCGGACTACGAGTTTGGTTTTACTGCTTGTCTAGAGTTGGGAGTTAAACGTCAAAGGGTTTCATTCCTTGGGGTTTCGGTTTCTCGGCAATTTCCAGAATCTGGCTTTCATGGTTTTGAACTCATATCCACTTGCCAGTATTCAATCAAGGAGCCAGCCCCTGTACCAATGTGCAAAGATGTGGGATTGCGGCTGCAGCAAGGGCCGTCATCACCAGCAGGTCGGTTTTCACCACCACCATCATCATCATCATCATCATCATCATCGGCATTGATGTTCTCATTCGCACAGTCAGGAAATCCGCAAGTAATTAAGATTAATATTGTATACCCCCACACACACACACACGCATGCACATGTTTCGATGTGATATTGCCGCAGACACTTCGTTCCCGATGCTCATGTTGTTGAGTGTCCAGACTGAAACTCGAACCCTCCGGTCAAGACCGAAGCCTGGAATACTTGGGAGCAATGTAGGGGCCGGAATGATAAATGCTTGTTGTAGTCCCAAGTAGAACATGCTAATATGTACTCCAGAACCCTCTTGCAATTCCTAAGACCCATAAAGGTTCTGCAAGGGTCCCTTTAGAGGTTCCCTTTAAGGGTCCCTTAGAGGGTCCTTTAAGGTCCCTTTAAGGGTTCCTGTCCCTCAAAGGGTCCCTTTATAGCAACAGCAATGTATCTCGCTTTCCAGGAGCGCGAACGGCTGCTCCGCAGGCTCGAGATGTGTGCCAAGGCGGCCGGAGGGTCTAACCTATGGGCCTTACTTGGAGGGTCGGGGGACTTAGTAACTGGTTATTTTGGGGACTTATAAGGGCCATAACCCCAATTAGGGTCGCTTTTAGGGTACTTATAAGTCTACTTACTACCTACTTACTAAGTCCCCCGACCCTCCAAGTATGGGCCTTAAGAATTACCTATGTAGGGCTGTAGGGTTAGGGACTAAAAGGGCCTTAAGAATTACCGCGTTCCTTATCATTACTTGATCACCTAAACTATTTTTGGGGTTCCTGGTTATAAGTAGAGTATAATATACTTCACTCCTGTCATTTTGGACTTCACGAGGCTTCAGGTTTTGGTAACCCTGGAAATCCTAAACCAGAGCTTTCTCACCATTCAACTCTCGTCGGATTTCACCAAGCCGACCTATCAAGCAGCAATAAGGCCGCGAAGCTGATAGAAAGCCGGAGCGCCATGAAGAAGCAAGTTGATCGAAATGTTTCGAGTCTCGGTTGAAGGCTTCTAGGTTTTGGGGGGATTTAGTGACACCCCCTCATCCGAATGGTGGCGTCATTGTGTTGAATCTTTTGAAGCACTTTATGTCCTTTGCGGTCCTGCATCACCAAAGCACATCAGGCACGAGAGGAGTCCACGAAGATCATGAGCATCCGCTTCGCCCAGCGGGATGCGGTGAAAAACGACCTGAAGCAAGACAGGCGGGTCGGGAGCTGCAAGGATGCCCAAGGCTTTGAGGCTTCTATAAGTGCTCTGTAAGGATCTAGGCTGGAATTCGGGCTGCAAAGCTGTGGGCTTAGGCAATAATGTTCCAGTGTCCGCGTACCGCCCGCCAACCCAGTCGCTGAGTGACAGTGTGGGCACTCTCTGGCGACACAACTACGCATGCACCTTCACATTCCCACACAGTATGCGGCTGCAAACCGTCGACTCTAAATTACGCCCAGCAGCCCTGAAGCCCAAAGACCCATGATCCTCGGATTCTGCGAAGACGAAAAAGGGCCGTGTAAAAAAAAAGACCCATGATCCGAAGAGCCCTCAGCGGAAGGCGTTTGTACTTGGATCGCCTCGTAACTTCGCAGCGCGACCGCGATGAGCGGTGGGCAAGGAATCCCGTGTGTGCTTGCCAGAGCTTTCAAGTCACTGGCTTTGGGAAGTTTAGGGTTCAGGGATGTTCAGGGTGAAGGGTTTAGCTTGGTTCCTATACTTTTGGGGAGGAGGCGTGGAAGGCTCTCGGGCCTTCAAAGCTTTCGGGTCCCAGAACATTAAAGCGTCACGATATCCCAATTTTCGTTGTTTTCGGAATTAGGGAGTTCACAAATGTTTCTGCCGACACTGCTTCCGAAAGTTCAAGAGAGCATGAAGCTGTCAGCCTGCTGCAGGAGGGTTGAGGCCGATCTTAGTCAGAAGTCCCCGTCAAAGCCTGAAGCGATCGACGCCCGAAGTTACCCGAAGTTATCAATTTTTCTTTACGACCCTCGATGTTGGAAAGATCTACAAGGCCTCCACTCTTAAGCCATATGGGAGTTTCCGAAAATAGTGGACCCTAATATGGTAACCTAAATAGTAGGATCCTTATTATTATAAGACCCCCCCAAATAAAGGTACCCCTGATTTTCGGAAGCTCCCATATAATCCCTGGAGAACGCTCTGCGGTTCGAGCACAGGAGGCTCCAGAAAAGCCCCTTCGCCGTAGATCTGGTGGCAGAAGATCAGCGCATTGCAGAGGCCAGGGCCGTGGAATTAAATAGGGGTCTGAATTAGAATAGGGCGTTTATTTACATGTTACGACCGTTATAGACGGCATTTAAGAAAGTGAAAGGAATACCATTACTGCTTCTTCAGGCCCCTGTAAGAAGGCTATTTGGGCTTTAGGGTCGTCTTGGCGTAGATGAGACCGCCTAGTGTTTAAGTTCATGTCTCTGAGGTGTGAGATATGTTTGTGAAGTGTCGAAGGCACTGTCTGGTTTGACAGCCCTAACCCCGAGCAATAAGCACAGCAGGTTTCACACGAGGAGCTCAGTTGCAGCCCAGGGTTTTATGGGAGCTCTTTCTAGGGCCTCGGTCGAAACCCAGGCCCATAGCCGCAGAAAAACGAGAATGGCAACGGCGACACGAACCTTATTTCACGTGTGGGACCCTCTGAGGGGCTAATCTCTCAACCCCAGCCTAAACCCCCAAGAGTAGGTTAAAATAATGGCCCCGAGCTTAGAAAAAAGTATTCCACAGGTTTTAGGGGTCCAGGAGGCACCAAGGTTTTAGGACAGCTTCTGCAGGAAAACCGAGTCCGTGAGATTGTGGAGAAGCGCCGGTCCCTCCCTCAACCTTCAAAGTGCTGTCATTGAGAGGTGTTCGGGTGTCGAGGATCCGGGCTTGAGGCTCAACCGGTTTGAGGGTTTTAGGGTTTTAGAGTTTGAGGGTTTTGGGGTTTAGGGTTTGAGGGTTTTTAGGGTTTGAGGGCCTTTTTCCGCTTCAGGGCTCAGAGGGTTCAGGTTGTCAGGAGGTTTCGATGCATTTCTTCTGGCTGCGAAGAGCCTTGGGCCCAATATAGATATATATATATATATACATATATAGATGGGTTTGTGGTATTGGAACCAAGGCTTAGTTGAGGGGTTGCGGTCCAACTTCACTCCCACAACTGAAAAGGTGGTCATGTTGGGGTCGGAATAATAAGGAACACTACTAGTATTGTGCCTTAGGGCGCCTGATTTTGCTGGAGAATGAGATAACCACCCCTCCCCCAGAACTCTATTTTAATTCTATGTCCTGGCCAGGCGGGAGGCAACAATTCTGACTTAAGACCCCTCTATTGCCGAGAATCGGGACGTGCTTGGCCAATAGGAGCTCCCATGAGGTTGCAATGTCGCTGGGGGACTGTTGGCCATTCTTTATGGAGAGCAGGGCAATCAAACCTGTCTCATGCCTATATTGCGGTTTAAACTTAGGTAGTACATGTAGGATGGATTAAGTAGGCACAGGGATTTGGAAGTAGGGCCGTCCATTTGCATGTATGTATATGCATATGCATATGTATATGTATACGTATGTGAACCATGAACCCTTCAGAGCCCACCAAACGAGGGTTGTGGGTCGGAGGCTTTCCCTCCAGGCAGATGGCAGAAGTCATGGGGTTTCGGGCCTCAGGCTTCTGAGGTTAGGGAGGGGATTAGGATTAGGTGGCGAGGGAAGGCGCTCCACAGGAGACACACCTTCCGGTCTTCTGATAAACAAAAACATGGCGGAGGTGAGCAGTATATGAATGGAAGAACCTGCAGCTACCCGTTGCTTCCCCCGCCTTGTTCTGGTCTCTCAGCGTCGCATGTAGGGAGGCCTTTGCAAAGAGCAGCTTCTTCCAAGCATTTAGCACATGTATGCAACCCAGCATGGTGACGGGAGGCGCCAGTCTGCTTCCGATTCATGTTTAAGGATATGCGGAACCTTAGTCCTGGAGCCCTGTAGGCCTCAAAACGCACATCGCAAACTGCACGCTCCAAACCTTTAAATCCTGAAAAAAAATAATTACAATCTGAACCCTGGAGGCCCTAGGGATGCCTGAGTTAAATCACTCCCTGATGAGTACTGATGAGGGCGAAGTCAGCGGCTGCACGCAGCCGTGAAGCACACAGCCGGCCAGGGCCCCAAGTCGCTCAACATGTTTTTGCTTTACCCAGAGGCTCCATAGTAGTTCCTTCTTGGGGTTCATATGTAGAATCCTACAAGGTAGTCCCCCAAAGGGACCTACCCTTGTTGTCAGGGTATTGTTTGCCAGGGTGTAGGACTTTGCGGACTGACTTGCATTCTCTCGACTGGTAACTAGACCCCGACCCTGACCCCGAATCCCATTATAGGCTCGTCCTAGCCTTGAATATGTCAATTCGAAGCCCGAGGCGAAAAGACCCGTAAGCACATCCCATGGCCACAAGGATTTTCAAGCGCGCAACCGTCGAGTCAGATGAGCTCGACCAGCTGAGGAAAGAGAAGAGGTACGGCTTTTGTGCTCTAGGGCTTTTAGTATCTTCATGGTAGTTGTGGTGGTAGGTCATGTAGATCTTTCTCTCTGTCTGTCTGTCTGTTTGTCTGTCTGTTTGTCTGTTTGTCTGTCTGTCCGTCCGTCCGTCTGCCTGTCTGTCCAATTCTACACACTTAGCTTGTGCATAAGGCAGTATAGTCTCCCAGTCTGCCTTTTGGCAAGTTGGCATTGCTCACTGTGTAGCGTCGGTGCGTCAAATGGGTCGACGCTGCATATGAAATGCCAGGTAGACGCCACACACTGTGTGGATTTAGATGGATTTCTTCCCTTGCAGTCAGTTCCTCGATCTTACACTCTTACACCCCACCACCCTAGAGCCCTAAGCCCTAAACACATAAACCCCTTTGTTGCAGGCAGCTTCTCACCAATGAGAAGCAGCTGAAGGCTTCGCACCCAGCAGCTACAAGTTTCATGTTGCACGTACCAAAGGGGGGGAATTGCTTGTTCTGTCTTGATATGTTTGGTGAGTTCGCGAGCTTTACATTCTGGCATGCTCCACCTCTGACCTCAAGTCCTAAACGCTCCGATTCTTAGATCAATGCACCATTTGCTGCTTTCGGTGCTTCCACGCTCTTGTAGCTTGGTGAGTCGAGAGGGCCCAGCGATCAGCGCAAGAACAGCGGCAGTTGCCCATGCACAAGTTTTGCCGTAGTGCTACGCTCTTCCATATAGGCTCCCCATGGTAGTTCCTTTTGGGGATTACCCTGCAGGAAAGAAGGAACTACTATGGAGCCTGGAGCCTCTGGGTAGGGCTTGAATAGGGGTAGTTCTTTTAAGGGGTTCATATTTGGAATCCTGTACGGGAATCCCAGAAAGGAACTACTCTGGAGCCTCTGCTTAGGGCTTGAATAGGGGTAGTTCCTTTTTGGGGCTCACATTTGGAATCCTGTAATAGGTTATAAGGTAAACCCAAAAAGGAACTACCCAGGGGCCCTATACAGTAAAAGCCAGAAAGTTGGAATATGATTTTCCGAAACCCTTTATGGGAAATTAACAGGTATCCTACCCTGAAACCATATTCCAACTTTCTGGAGTTCCTTAGGGTTTAGGGTATAGGGTTTAGGGTTTAGGGTTTAGGGGTTTAGGGTTTAGGGTTTGGGTAGGGCTTGAAGAGGGCTTTTTTGAAATCTTTTGGGACCTCACAGGCCCTGCGCGATGTGGAGCGGAGCAATGCCCGGACCTTGCAGATCTTGCAGGCAGGTTTCCTAAAACACTACCTTAACCCACCAAAACCTACTTTAAAATAAGAACCGAAAAAACAGGTTATGGTAGTTTATGTAAGGTATATAAGCCCAAATTCAGGGATTAGGGTGCAGGGTTTAGTAAATCCTAAACCATAGTAGTGGGTAACTGCGAGAAGCGAGATGGACTGGCGGCACGGAATACCGACTCCTCGTGATCTGCATGACAGATAAGCGCATCTGAGGGCACACATCCTTAAAGGCTTGGCAGACCACGCAGAGACTCTAATATCCCTTAAGCATGGAATATACCGTAAGTTATAGTAAGATCCCTAATATGATTTAAGGTTTGTTCCTGAATTGAGGGATCTTGGAGTCTCTGGGCATGGCTGTCCACCCAATTGCAGGCTCGGCAGCAAAAGCAGCAGGAGCTGCGCAAGATGCGGCAGATGCGAATGGGAATCGCGCCTTGGCGAAATTCGAACTGCTCAGTGCACCAAGTCTAAGACAAACAGCCTCGGTTTGTGCTTTACCGCGGCTTGTAAGCTTCGCCCTTTTACTGCTACTCTCCCGAAGCACTCATCTTCCGGAGAGGTCATAGCCTTTCAGCTGGCATTTCAATACGGGTGTCTCTGACACAGACGAATATGACGAATACACGAATGTTAGACGGATCTGAGGCTGCTTGGAGGCTTAGTGCGACTTAACAAGGGAAGGGAACCTCCAGACGTGGACATGCGTTGTGCAACGTATATTGGAACAGGAGGACGAGAACGACTCTCCCAGGCATGCTGCTGGGTTCAAGAGGGCTGCGCACAAACGACAGTACCACCAATTGAGACGAAGAAGTTCAAGTTATGTTTCGCGATGGCGTTAAGTCTACATCCAGTTGGAACTCCTGCAGCACTCGCAGAACGGTTATCAGCGATTCGGAGTCTTTTTGGGGTAGGGGTGACATCGTGTGGGCAATGTCAGAATACCAAGACCTTAAAACAAGTTGACTTCTTGCTGACAGTCACCATGTGTTTGTTTCTTCGCATTGAAGGGAGGTTGGAGTGGTATATAGGGTGTGGCGAGTGGTGAATTTCACCGCCTGTAGTCGAGTGTCGAGTGGCGGCGTGCCGCAACGGATGCTCGAAGGTTAGATGCAGAGCCACACTCTTGGCTTTCACACAGTTGCCGTAGACGAAAGAAGTCTGGCAAGTGACTAGTGAGTTTTGTGGGGCATGCCTTCTCGAGGCAAACAGGTTTTGCACAATCCCTTGGCAACTCAGAGATCCCAATACCCCTTGACTAAGGAATATACCCTAAATTACAGAGGCCCTAATATTATGACTTAAGGTATATTCCTTAATTAAGGGGTATTGGGATCTCTGGGAGCATGCTTGCAACTCAGCCCTGCCTGATGTCCGAACTTGGAAAGCATTGAACCACCAGGGCCCGAAGAAGTGATGCAATCCCACGATGCCGTCATCCCGAACCCTAAACCCTAAACCCTAAACCGTAGGACCCCGGAAGCCGTGCCTGCGATTGTGCGAGTGTGCGAGTCGAAACCGTCAGGAGAACAATGTGACAGTCCGTACCAACACTGCGGGCAATGATACCAAGCCGTCGGCTTCTCGTCTGAAAGTACCATTCCAATCTTTCCTGCTTTCTCATTGATGCATGCTGACCTTGTTCACCGATTACTACACAAAGCTTGCTGTAGCGATCGAGTTGTTTCGAGCGTGTGTTTGTGTGTCCGTTGCAATACTGTCTCAAACCATGCGTTATATGGTGTGAGTGTGCGGCCTAGGGCTTCACGGCTCGGGGTTGTCACCATTGCTTCATGCAGTATCTCAGGATGGCCACATCTGACTACATGATGGTGCGACTTGAAGCAGAGTCGCGCCATCTGATTTTTCAGCGCGATGCAGTGCAAAGCGCAAGAGCCTCCACATGCACAAGTGGATGTGTGTATATATTATGTATATGTATATACACTTATATTTATGTGTATATACATATGTATATATATATATATGTATACGTACTTGTTTGTCTGTCTTTTCTTCTTTCTCCATAATTCACTACATTCACACATAAACATACACATAGACATATACGGTATGCATGTGTATACAGATACAGGTGTATGCATGTGTGTACATAGATCCCGGTGGCTCCAAATAGCCCAAAGAAGGTACTACTTGAAGACTTTAGACCCCATAGTAGGTGCTATTTGTATACTTGGAGCCCGTGCGGATAGATAGATAGATAGACATAAAGACAGGTAGACATTGACATAGATGTCGAACTTGTGTGGGTTGCATGGCTTGGTTCGCAATCCTCCAGGCTATGAAGCCAATCGTCAAATCAGGCCTCGTCGAGTTCCGGCAGTGTTCTTCCTAGTAGTAGAGTAGGGAGCCTTTAACCTTTTTTTGGGTAGTATAGTCCGTATATAATCCCTTTTTAACCAAAAAGGTTAACCTGTAGTTCCCCATGATACCCGACAGGTGGGTCTTTGCACTTCTTTAGCGAATTGGCCAAAGGTGGCCCCTCGTTGTGGCAGGCAGCAGTGTACCTCGATTTTTGTGGTACTTGCCCGGGTAAATGTTGCATTCGCGTATGGCTGACCAGCCGCCTGTCGTGAATTGAGGTGCCAGCCATGTTTCGTTCGATATCTGCTGGTGGCTTCTCCTTGAAAGGTCATTGAGGTCGAACGCCTCTGGCCTCGCCCGTCCCCTCTCGCAAAGTGGAATAAGAAAGATAGTTATGTCGCCAAGCTTTGCCACGGTGCCTTTGCAGGTTGTTGCAGGCTTTGTGCCAACATCAGGGTTCAAGACTCATCTCGATATTGCGATGCAAGGGAAGCACACCAGCACGATGTTTTGCCGACGGCCTGCCAGCAATAGACAGCAGATGAAGATTTGGACGCAAGTGATGCTGAGGATGACTCCTTCGGGAGTGGGGCTTATACTTCGAGCGACATGCTGAGGTTTGCGAACATTGCAGGCTGGCCTGCATCGGGTAGAGTGTAGCAGCTTGTCGATGCTGTGACCTCGGGCATGGTTTCGTCATGACTTGAGGGTAGGTAACCTTTAACCTTTTGGGGTTTATATTATCCTACCATAATTCAAAAGGTTAACCTTTTTTGGCTAGGATACTCAGCCCCTAAGTGAGGGTGGGAAAGTTGAACCATACTGGAGAGCATCGGTGCAGGACTCAATAAGTTCTCTAGAACCTCTAACACCCTTAAGTCCAAGTCGAGAACTAGGAACACCTCCGTCCAGCTACATAACCCATCATGTAGCGTTTTGGGGTATGTGGACCTGGAAGCATACGTAGTTACAAGATCCTGTGAGGGTTACCATCCCACTACCCACTCGTGGCTCAGGAGGTTCAGCTAGTGAAAATGTCAGCCCTTTCTGATGCCGTCAAAGTTTCAGTAGGCTGTGCTCATTACTTACTTGAAGCAAGTATATGGCTTTGCTACTCTCAGGAGTGAGGCCTAATTAGTACGAATTTTATGCCTCCGTCTCAGTTATCTGTTCACCACAGGTCGCCTTACCCCATGACTCATGTGCGAAGACACATGAGGCGAAAAGCAAGGCAACTGCCAGTTGCCTTGCTTTTCGCCTCATGTGTCTTCGCACATGAGTCATGGGCAACTGCTCACCTTCAGCACTTCTATGTAAGAATCTAGCTCTTGCCATAGCGACCTATGAGACTTGTAATAGATGCCGAGTGCTTCCTCTAATGATTGGCCCACCAATCTTCCTGGAGATCGCAGCGAAACCGACGCACAAACGGCCAGTCTCACTTCGAAAAGTCGCGCATGCGCACCGCAATGAAAAAGGATCGTCGAGTCTTGAGCTTGTTTGCTGTAGGGTAAGTTATCGGGTTTTGGGGTTTCAGGATAAGTTTTACGGTTATAGGCCAGGGACTGGGAGATGTGTTTAGGGTTTCGACGGGCTTCGGAGAGGGTGCGGGGACCACGCGTCGGGTTCAGACTCTGTTTGGGGATACGGCTGGTTGCGATTAATATAGAGACCAAAATAAACACCAATACTATTTTGGGGGCTCCTTATTAAAATTTTCAGTATAATGGTTCCCAAAACCCTATTCTAATTGTTAAGGCACCTATATGGTACGTTCGTCGGCTTTATACTCAGACCGAACGCCAAACTAACTCCAAACTAACGCGTGTAGTTACAGGTCTGAAAGGTTTTCCGGGGGCAGGTCGCCTTAGATTTCTCATATGCTTCAAATTTCATGCCGGCCTTGAAGCTAGAAGCCTTACACGTCCATTATAGCGGCCTTAATAATTTCCTGTACTACTTTGGGGGTTCCTTATTCTACTTATTAGGGCCATAAAGCACTACGAGCAGCCTGGCGGCACGGGGATCTATCATTTCGTTTACATCTCGGACATGTACCCCCAGGCCCCCATCCCGCTGGAATGTGCTTGCTCAAAGTGTACAAAGTGCCGGGTGCCGAAGAACTACGAAGAATGGCCGGCATCTGACCCCTCCGTCCGCCGCCTAGTCTGTCAACTTTTGCCATCAAGTTCAGCTTGGACCTGAATCCCACGCTTGGTCTATGTTGCCTTGAGGCTGATCGGATCTAACATGGCGTAGTGTAGGGGGTTGATAACATGGCACCTGACTCTGACGAACGCATGCAGCGCTTTTCCATGCGGTTCCTGCCACTGTAAACTAAGTAGGGCGTATGCAGTTCCGCCTGCAGCAACAGGCGTATGTAGCCGTAGGCAGCGAAACAGACATATGTACACGCACACACACATACACAGAGGTGGGCTCCAAGATTCACTAGCGACACTTAATCTCGCAGTTTGCTGCCGAATGAGATTGTTTAACAGATTATGCACTCGAGCAGGATACCTGGGTTTCTGAAAAATTCCCTTGAAACACGTAACTGCCTGCACACCCCGACCCTTAACTGCTTCAGCTCGTAACCCCAAACCCTCAACCCCTAAACCTACACGGGATTTATCGAGACCCCCCAAAGCATCTTGCAAAGCGCAAGAAAGCACCTCAGAGCTTGCAGGTTTGAGCCTCGATGGGGCAGTGCCGGACTCGCTTGTGCTACTGAGGTGTAGGATACCTGATTTTGGCAGAGGGATTTACTAAAGGGTTGAGGAGCTTGCAGATTTTAGGAAGGCTACACATGCATGCCAGTGGTAGCCCCAGCTTCAAAAGTGTTTTGGAAGGGTGGCACTCACAGAGGCTTCGCTGGGACAGCCCTTTGCCAATTTTAGGCTTTGCGGTTGCAGGTTTACGTGTTCTGGGTTTTCCGTTCGCGGGTTTCGGGGTTGATTACACCGCCAAACTCTTGTTCGGTGCAAGCACTATGTGGCCGAAATGGTTTTGGATCAGAATCAACGACTCTCATGGCTGCAGGGGCCGTGCATGGTCCATGGTACAGGTATGTGCCCGCCTGTAACTTCGCTGCTGGTCTTTTCGGGTTTTCAAGGGAGGGTCCAAGCGAGCCCAAACCCAAGGAA